AAAGTAAGCTTTAGCTTGACAACTTAAAATTCCCTCTCTGGCAGTTGTTAAGAGGAGACAGCAATTTGTCAAGCTTCGTCATTTGGAGGGACTGCCACAACCTCTTTAATCACTGGCGGTGGTGAGTGACACTGACACCCACACACAGCCCTTAGGCTTTAGACAAATAAACTACAAAACTGAAATAGACACTTCAGGCTTAAGAGGTGGTAAGTTCTCTTTAGACTTCTATTTTGCTGGCTATAGCACCTAGCCCCATGAGCCACAAATAATACAGTACAAATTTGTTTCTGTAGCAATAGATGGCTTTCCCGAAAGGTTTCTTCAATAGAATGTTGTTAAGAATGTACACCCTGGATCCAGTTCTCATCCATCTCTCAGCTATCTCCAGTAGGAGCCGTGTGGTGACACTTCCCTGCCTTTCCAAGCAGCATACACACAGATTTCAGTATGTTACTGAGTAAGTGACCAATTTGGTTTAGGTTTCCTTCACCTATGGAAGAAATGTATAAAGGAACATGCAAAATTACTTAAGAGGAGAAACTCTGCAGTGAGTAGAATCAGAAGTTGGCTTAGCATCTTGCACTGACATCTATATTCACATGGAGCTTCAAATAGTGTCCAGATGGTGGTGCTTCCTCTCCCTTGATCTGGTAACTCCATCCCTGAAATCTCTCAAACCATAACCCTGATTTAAGCCAAATGCATGGTGTGAGGGCAGGAATAAGGAAACTCACTACCACCCAGGCAAAGTTTCAGAAAACTCCACCTTTCACTTAAAGTCATTTGAGGTGATGGTAAGAACACAACTGCCAGGAAAAAGACAAAAATAAAAGTAAAGACTTGTTTGTTTAGTAATGTACTGAAAGAGCAAATTACATACAACAGCATCCTTTTCTTACAAATATTGGCCAACATCTTAAACATAAAAAGTCACTTTCCAAATGCAAAAATGTAAACAACCAGCCTTTATACTGTATTTAGCATGTCTGTACCAGTGGAGTTTTACAGCTTGTCAGTTAGAATATTACACTCGGGCTTGCTAGTCAGCAGCATATTTCCTTGATAAACAAACACATCACAGCACTGAAATGCAGAAATATTTATTTTGGTTTCCTTCATTGGTTTTGAAAATTGTTTTGGTTTTTATAAAACATAGAAATAGCCAACACTAAGCAAACATCTGAGTTTCAATGTAAAACTACTGCTCTAACAGTTGACTTGGATTTGTGTACCTGAATTGTATACACATATGAAATTATGCTACAGAGTAGTGCATTACAATCACACACAAATCTTAGTGCAAACCTTGTTGTGCTTGTATTTTACATATATCCATGTTTTCAAAAAACAGCAATGAATGTTAATGCAAAACCAACTCTGTTAAGGATAACAAAAGACTTATGCTGTAATAAGGCTTATTTCTGCTGATTTTTCAAACAAAAGATAATAACTAGTTATTATTTTGCAATTTATCTGGGAATTAGGTACTTATCCCTGAACAAATACCTATCCTGGACCAACACACAGTTTTGTTGGCATGTCTAAATCATTCCAATTGCTGCAAAGCATCAGGCAAGAACATTCTACCTGACCTATTTTGCAATTCAGTGGCTCATACATACAGCACAGAAAACAGATTATGTCAGAAGCTCTTCCACTTACAGAGGGCCTGGCACATTTTCATAAAACACATTTTAAATACAAGTTCATTGCAGGTAAACAAGTGTCTGGTACAGGTGCAATGTTTACCCTGACTGTTAGCATAGCCCATCCTTCTGATTTGGTTTTTAGGTCTCTAGTGTTCTTGCCAGAGTTGGGATCTGCTCATTTGCAGGGCTGGCACCACTCCAGGATCATGCTAATGTAGCAGAGGCTACACTTGCTGAATGAACTGCATCCACACAGTGCAGAACCACCATATGCAGACTCTGAGGAACTTCTATTCATCAGTCTTCTTTGTGTGGAGTGCTGACTGCTACCTTATAGAAGTACATCCCATAATTGGCTGTAGATGTAGACAGGAGATAGAGCTCAGATGCCTTGTCCCAGTTAATATTTGGACCAACAAAAGATGTGATACCAGCCATGCAAACTGTAAGGGTTTGGGTTTTTTGGTGGGGTTTTTTTGAACACCTTAAGTAATTTTTCTGAGGATGCAAGATACTTAGAGGCATTTTCAAAACTGCCAAATCCTTTGTGGAATTGACAACTGCAAAACACACTGCAGACAGCAAACATGCTGGCAATAAAACCTTAGCTCCTTGGTGAAGGTGAGTCCCATTTTTGACCAAGGAAAAATTAAATAACTTACATATAGTTAGCATTTATAGTTAAGGCTCTTTTAGGAAATTGTAGGTCACCATAAAAACAGTATGCAACACGACTTGACAGTAAGGCAGTGTTCCATTTCTTCAATGTTCCTATGGCAAGTACCCATTTTTGTACAAGTTAATGATTGCACAGTTTCCTTCCCTATTTTTGCTGTAGTCAAAATACAGATATGAAGGCTAACAGTAGACAGACGTGTGCCACTCTGCTCATTCTGCTTGCAGTTACATTTTGGCATTAGCATAGAGTTCATCTATCTGTGACTGGAAGTATTTTTGCAGCTCTGGTCTCTTCGCCTTCAGTGTGGGTGTCAACAGGCCATTTTCAATTGAAAACATTTCAGCATGCAGGACAATGTCTTTCACCTGGAAAATAAAAAGTTACTAGCCAAGCTGTATTCCTTGAAATACAAAAGACTATTAAAAACTTGCCCAGTCATCTTGAAGCTTGTCACTTGAAAAATTTTCCAGACACAAATTAAAAGCAGAATTTTTTGAGAATCAGATCAGATGTTGAGAAGTTTAAAGAATTAGGTATTTGGTTCTCATAAGCATCATACCTGTTCAAATGACTTCAAACCAGATTCTTTCCCAATTCTCACCATGTCCTCCAGAATGTATTTTTTTACATCCTGTGGATACAGAAATACGTTGTATAGCTTCATACTTCCATAAGCAGCAACTTGAAAAAGTACATGCAAAACAGCTAACTGTTCAGATATGCCTTACCTTGTTTCTACATAGCTCTTGATAGGAGCCTTCAAATCCCTTTTTCTTGGCCCAGTTGAGCAGTGTATCAGGATCAGGTACCACAACACCTACTAAAAAAGCCTAAAAAAAAAAAAAAAGAGAAAAACTGACAAAAATTCTAAGTCAGCAGTTTAGTTCTTACACATTTATTTGGGGAGCATTTCTGATCCTGCTGCAAAGTCAGCAGCTTTCTCTGATGCCTGCCTGAACACAAAGTGCAGTTCAGTTCAGCTGAACTGACACAATGAAGATCCCCATTTTTCTTTACACTTGAAAACCCCCAAGATATCCAGGGTCTTTATTGGTGTGCATGGGTTTTTCTGTTGTGGTTTTTGTTTGCATTTTTGGGTTTTTCCCATTGCACACTGTTAGCAATTTATATACAGTCATTAATACACAAATTAGTTCAGTTCCACTATCTGGTGTGAAGCTAAATCCAGAAATATGCTATGTAACTGCTGGAATCCAATCACTATGCATTTCAGTTCTGATAATAGTTTACAATAAAAATTTAAAAAATTTCAGTCCCAAAGTTTGGGGTGAGGGGAAGGAAGAAAGGAAGTCTTCTTTTGCATTGATTTTTAATATTACCTGAAAAATGCTTACCTGCAAACTCTCTCCATGGACAAACACCTGTGAAACAGCTTCACATCTCAGGTACACATTCTCTATTTTCTCTGGTGCTATGTATTCTCCCTGGGCTAGTTTAAATATGTGTTTTTTCCGGTCAATGATCTTCAATGTACCATTCTGTTGACAGAAATAACTTTCACTCAGAGGAGGCACTTCAAGTGAAAAACCAATCTACAAACCTTAGGCATGCCACACTGGCACAGTAAAACTGTGCTAGAGCCAGAGAACTGTCAAACTAGATTAGATTGATACATAACCTATTTTCTTCTAACACTAAACTGGGGAAAGCCTCAGCACTGGCACTGTCAATACTTTTTTAGGTCCAGGCACACAGATTCAGTTACAACAGTGATTATCCACAAATTCTTGTATTTCACCAAACTAATTCTATTAAATACCAAATGTTTTTTAATCTATTTACTAAATTTCTGCCAGTAACTGTAAAAGTATCATTCCAGCTATGTAAGTTAACTTACTGGTAGCCATTTCCCAATATCTCCTGTGTGAAGCCAACCATCTTTGTCCAGAGCCTCTGCTGTTTTTTCTGGATCTTTCAAATAGCCACGAAACACATTTATCCCTTTAATACACACCTGAAAAGAGCCATTTGTTAATATATGCTACAATGAAGGAAAAGTTAGCAATCACTG